TGCTAGAGCCTTGAGCTTCAATCAACTTGACAACATCCATACCCTCGATAACTTCCCCAAACACGACATGGCGCCCATCGAGCTAATGAACGATTTACAATTCGATTCTTCTCAGTTCCAGAAGTATGGCAGTACTCACCCATCTCGTTGTTACTGTGGTGATGAAAAACTAGGCAGATTCGAGAAGAAAATGAAATCAGCGAGCTAAACAACAGTATGAGTATGCGGGAAATAAGTGCTGACTTGTGATCCATTTGTATTGGGCCCAGAGTTGGCCATCGAGAGAAGACCAGGTTCTGAGTGAGAGCATCGGAAGTTTTCGTCTGGAGAAAGGAAATTTTTCATCGATAACGGGCACCGTTCGAGCAAAGGATCAATGGTTACCAGCAAACCAGCTCCTCCCATAAACCGAGTGGCCGCCGGTTCCATTATGAGCCGTGAAGTCACCTCCCTGTAACATGAACTGACAGAAGATGAACAAATTTGGAGATGTATCGCAGACAGGGGTGCATATACCTTGGGAATAATGCGATGGAAGGTGCTGCCAGCGTAACCAAATCCATATCGACCAGTCGCTAGCTCACGGAAATTCCTGGCTGTCCGGGGAGTGATATCATCGTATAGTTCGAAGACTATACGTCCCACGGGCTGGCCTTGAATTGAAATATCGAACTAAAAATGTACATGTAAGGCCTTGTTGAGCCTGAACAGTGATTGCTCGGTCAAGGGCTCACAAAAACGTTCGACCTATATTTAATCATGAATTAGAAAATTTTCAGTCGACAGAGACGTTCACAAATTGAAAGATTATCTGCTTACATTCAAAGTAGATAGCGTGCACTAGACGTAAGGAAGTTTATCTCGACAACTACTAGAATAAAGGTTCACCATCGTGATGTGAGGGAAGATTAATTCACACGTGCTGACAGTGTTAGTACTGTATCAAATGACAAAGGCTCACTTTTTCACTCAGACCGTGATCTTTTGGGGACGATTGGTTGAAATCTCGACCACTTTGAACAGAGAGAATATGTGAATGGTCAGAAACTGACTTGTGAAGTTTTTATACTTTCATGAGAGATGATTTCTGATTCAGCACTGCTTCGAAATCGCCTTCGACGTTCCATTCAATCGGCTCCAAACCCCCTCAAAGGTTACACTTATGCTGCTTCTAATCCACCAAATGTTCATGTAGGTACTAAACCATATGTCACTCATAACTTCTCGGTGGGTGCTAACTCAATACTGTCATTACCCTGACAAAAAAATCCGACACTAGCATGGTTGCTTTTTCTTCTATTTTACAAGTTCACAAAACGATATTCATCTAGAGCGCCAAGGCTAGACAGGATTCTGACGAAACAAGCTGTTCTCATGCTAATATATCTTTCTCAATAGTCAGAGTCTTGCCACGTCAAGAGAAAAAACTTACGACTCGGGAAATACCGCATCTAACTATCATTTCATCTCGACCGATGAAAGTCAAGGTGTTCTATTAAATTCTCTAAATTTTTTTCTGGAAATCACCTTACTGATTTACATGAACCTAGTCGTGTGCAGATTCTGTATATAGTCTGAGGCACAAGTTTCGCTCTAACTATAACGGTAAACATTGAAGCGTGATAATATACGCAAGGCGTTTCTCCGTCATTGCCCCATATACCTCCTCGAACATCACCAACTGAGGGAAGTTGCCTTTGCCCCCCCAGAGGGTAGATATAAAAGATGTTATGGCTAATTTCTTTACAAGTCTGCTATCCTTTACCGCAGCTTCAGCTGTCGTTCAGCCACTCTAGCATTCAAGTTATCGCACCCCAGTGACATCCCTTATTACGTGGTTCTTCCCACTCTCCCCTGCTCAGCATTTCATTGACTGTTTTTGTGCACGAGCAAATTTTCTACACGACAGGACTGGTCAGCTATTATTTGATGACGACTTTGCCACCTCAGTGCTGACAATGTGCTGTTGTCGCTCTTGCCTTATTCACCGTCATAGAACTGTTCATGTGGAGCTCGTCATGCTCAGGTGGACCTCAACCAGCTTCTGGATTAATGATGATATGTTGATGAAAAATCGATGTGATTTTCTCGCATATCTTCGACTGACGGTCCACTCGTTTATTGGAGTGTAGAGTTCGTTGTAATGACGTTCGCATTCATCTTAATTGTATTGCACATCTTTTAAGAATTCTCATTTCGTATATTCATCCGTTCTACAAATGGACAATGGTCGTGCCCCGCTTGGCTCAGTACAATATCTGAATGTTACATGTCAGGGCAGCAGAATGAGATACCATCTTCCTTTGCTCCACTTATAGACTGGCATGTTGTGTAATGAATCCCCTTCGTTGCTTCCTTTGAACCAATGAGGCTACCTCATGCTACTCAAATTGGCAACATGCTTTTCTTTCGAAGACAAGGTTAAATAAATCTTCCCAAGCTCATGTCAGGATTACAGGATCTTGGGGCTGCAGGTTCGAGTAAATACTCCGGTGAATTGCCATAGGTAGGTATCCTGGAGCTATACTATGTGAATATCTAAGTATTTCAGTCGAACAACCTCCGGGGGGTTTCTGCGAACACGCTGAAGATGGCATATTCTCTGTCGAAGACTAATAACCCCTCCATTGAGACCATCATGTATGTGGATTGAATGTTTTTTCAATCGATAACACGACTCATGAGAACTAGAAGCGAAGGCTCACAAGACAAGGTGGTGGTAAAAGAAACGTGCTTTGTATCGTAGATGGATATGGTATGTATACAGCATGGTTCACTTTTATTAGTGACGAATGTGTATCCTGATTTGCTGACCAGGTATCCCTAAAGGATGCCGAAGGTCATCCAAAACTGTGACTTCGACTTCACCTTGGCAAGTTCCATTCTCTGTGTCTCCGTTCCCGAGGGAATGGGCCTGTTTCCCGACCACCCTTTGGGAAGAATCATTAGTCATGCAGGTACAACGAAATTGCAGTGTATGAAAAGATAGAGATTGCGAAGGATGAGCAGGGGCGCCTTTGTGACTGACGGCTAGAGTAAGCTTATGTGGTACATAGTGCATTAACGAGGGATCCTTACTTGAAAGGAACATGTGCAACTTTTCGAACGTCTCGGGCGACGAGCAGAGCACGCTTTTCATGACCGTATTCGGGATCAGCGACAATAGAATGGCAAGCTTTGTAGTTAAGGCGCTCATTCTTGCGGACAAGGCTCTTTAATTGCCCATACATCTCTGTAGCTGACTGAAATTCAGTTCCGAAGATCATTGGATCGTTCAGCAACGTTTTCTTGCGTTTCTGGATACAAGCATGAAAAATTCAGGAGAATAGATTTGAGGTGAGGCAAGAACTTCGCACTTTATTGATGTCAAGGTTATACGAGCTCAGAATGTCTTTGGCTCGTTTCTTTCTCTCTAGCGTTGAAGTCTCTCCGCTGACGACAGCAGCTGCGCGCGCTAGCTTGGCCTGTTCACTTCTCTGTTTTTGGTATGCATTCTTCTTCTTTCGACAGGTTGTGCAAGTTTTAAAGCCAGAATCCGCATTTCCACGGCAGCAGGTGCACTTTTCTGGCAATGGCGCGGGAGTAAGTATAGGCATTGAGTGGACAATTGAAATCCTGGTGAGTGGTAGCCTCGCTAGCCAGTCTGATAGTTCAACGAAGAGTAAACGCGTTCGTTAGGTGAGTGGAAATAATTGTTGACCTCTCACGGGAATTGCACGTGCGTGGTGCGTCTTCGGTGGTCCGTGCCCGAGTTTACTTGTCATACTTCGGATTCCATTTTTACCTGCTTGCGCACCTCAGCGAGCTACTATGACATCCATCCTTCGTCTATACAGGTAATTCTAGGCTAAGATCTCTTGGATACTTTATTCATGTACACTTTTTTTAGTGCTGCATTCGCTAGACGTCCCATGGCTACTCAAAGCACGACCTCTGCTATGATATTCGGTACCGGAGACATTATCGCTCAGCAAGTTGTTGATAGAAAAGGCTTTAACAATCACGATGTAAGTGTTATATCCAAATCTATAGCCGGACTCGGAGGACGGAGCTCATGCCAGCGATGCGTCCAGTTTACCAGGACCGCAAGATTTGTCTTCTACGGAGGTGAACTAAGTTCTCCAAATACCACAAGTATTAAACGGATCTAATATAGTTAACGTCCCCATCTCTTCGTGAATTGAATTTGCACTCCATGGATGCAGCGTGTTTGTTCGGACCTGTTCTCACAAAATGGCACCAGTTTATCAATCGCAGACACTTTACGAGTCCTTTAAGAGCTGTCGTGTACAAAGTAAGTTGATCAATATCACTCGTTGTCAGATGTAATAATTCGACTTGATTTTTTGAGGTCACTCTTGACCAACTAGTCGCGGCGCCTTGTAAGCTGTTCTCCCACTGGCTGGGTTTCTCAATCCTCACCGACCTTTTTCAGTCATCACAGTACCCATGTTCTTCGGCTCGATGAGTATTTTGGAGGGTCGTCCCGATGAAGCCATTTCGAGGATCAGAAACGTTCGTCCTTTGATGCCCAAAACCCAGAATCAATCCATTGATCTCGTAATGATAGTCCTATGTCTCTACATTAACGCGTGGTTGGTGAGTTGGAAAAAAAGTTGTTACTTTTGTTAGCCTCAACCCCCCCTCAGGTGTCTTTTTATACCAGCGCAAATTGTCAACTTTGCCTTTGTTCCGGTACCAATGCGTATTCTATTTTTTAGCACTGTTGCCTTATGCTGGAGTACGTCGATACAATTCATTCGTGTCAAAAGTGAAATATTTAAACATACCTCTGCATCCTCGACAGACACATATCTATCGTTCTTCAATGCGAAGCAGAAACGACTGCAGGAGTGTTCGCCGTAGCAGTATCATGATCAGCCTTGAATTGAATTAGAGAGATAGAGACACCGGCGACTATTCTTCGAGACAACGACAAAATTCATTCTCATACTCTACATTTGCGAGATAAGGGCCTTCTGATTTGGAGATTTAACCAAGCTGGAATGGCCGAGTCGTTAAGGCGATAGATTTGAACTTTCATCATCTATTACTCTCTGAGTGCGTAGGTTCAAATCCTGCTTCCAGCGTTTTTTTTTCAGTAGGGTTCCAAGCGCTGAGAAATATTTAGCTTGCTTCGAGCGCGGAATACGTGCGAATTGCGATACTCATATGTATGTCGCTATAGGTCAACATTTGATACTTATCATAAGTAGACATCTTTTTTCGGTTCAATCCAACAGTCGGATGCCTCTATTTACCAGTTTCTTGTATGGACTTGAACGGTCAGGTGCACCGTAGAACTATATATGCACCGTCCTAACGTCAATTATTCTACGATTAACGTCAGTTATTCTACGAAATAGCGATGAGTCTCCAGACCAAAACCTTGTTCCATCCTAATCTCTATAATTCGGCCTCTGTGTCGACCTCGAGACACGTATACGGCACGGAAAACAAGCGGGCATACTACGTAGCTGTTCTTTAGGATACAATAATCGGATGAATTTGTCAATTTATGTGTTGCATCGTTTTAGGCATTATGTTGGAGTATATAAGTAGGCAATGTCGGGAGGATTTTCTCCATTGATCTCTGATAATCGTCTGGCTTGAACTCCGCTCTGCAGCTCTTATTCCTTTACCTTGCTCACAGTTGGTATGGTTAACAACACTAACGAAGGAAACCTGCCCGCCTCCGATTACTTGGTGCGTAGCGATTACACCCGCTCACTGAATCTGAAATTTAGGCAGCAATGTACAGCCTCTGGCAACCGCACCACGGAAAGTTCCAAGGTCGCAAACTGGCGCTGGCTTTACAATGTTAACCCAGCGGCCAGTTGCTACCGGCAAAACTTGATATGCGACTCTCTGTCCTGATCCGACAACTTGCGCTGCGAACTGTGGACTTGATATTGCAGACTACTCAGGTAGGCTGTTGACGATTATTCAAATGACCTCGCTACCATTATAGTAGTTACCGTGTTTCAACGGGTGGAAGTGCTCTAACTTCGAAGTTTTTCACCCAGTACGCCCCAAAAAAGTGGGCCCGCGTCTCTAGCTTGTCCCTCACACTCGTCAAGCAGGAGTTTACAATTAACGTGGACTTCTCTCAACTTCCTTGCGGTCCCAACGGCGCACCTTGTTTCTCGCCAATGAACGCAGATGGTGGAATGGTAAGTTTTCATTTTTCAAACTTCAAGTCTCGTTTCTCCGTTTCTCGGGTAACAAGGTGGGAGCCAAGTTTGGAACTGGATACTATGATTATCAAAGACCCCACGATATCAAGTGCATTGATGGAGAAGCATGTTTTTACCGTCGGTCTAAAGACATCGATACTAAAAATTAACAACTGGATTCCCGCTAGTAACAGCTCTAACACGGCAACGAGTGCAACCGGAACTTGTTCGGAGAGAAGGCAAATTACATCACCGCTGGCGTCACTCCTCATCCACTGTTATTGGACAGACATCTTGTATGGACCCTTGCTTCTCTCTCTACGGCAGGTGTCTGCGACCAGGCCGGATGCGACTTCAGCTCATACCCCGGGAATAACTGTCGACACCACTCATCCCTTCATCGTCGCCACCCAGTCCTTGTTCTCGAAAAACGAGTCCACTGGTACTCTCTCTGCCAATACTTGCCTTGAATATCTGAAGCGGGCGATTCACTGGAATGAGTGCAGTCTGTGATCCTATAGAAAATATCTACTTCGTTTTTTCTATACCCTCAGCTCGAATCAACTTCATCCTCAAACCCATGACCCGGAACGTAAAATTGCACGGAACTACCGATTTTCACATATTCGGAGCAAGGATTCTACTCGAAGTCTTCATGAGGTTGAACTCCCGTATTATTCAAAAAGGAACCGAAATCCTCGATCTGCCGAGCAATTTGGTCTTGACGTGCTCAGTGATGCTCAATATATCTGTGCAGAGAAAATTCATCGATACGAGATGAGTGTCAGGAATGCTCTGAACCCGGTCTGAGACTTTTCCGCCTCGAGTCTACGAAGCATAAATGGGCATAAGTCTGCCAGTCCCCGGAAGCCCAAGCAAATAGTCGTAGGGTGAGTAGAAAATTGCCACCTCTTATTCAAGAAAAATCTGAGTAGCTATTCATATCAACAGGAAGCACACTCACGATAATTAGGAACGCTTAACTTGGGTCAAAATTCTTCAGTTTTCCAGCGTACTTCTACTGTGTCCAACTGGGCAGCAAGCTGTTCAGTCTCTTCTTCTTAGTTGAGAAGTCCTGGTGATTTACCTCTGATTTTTAGATTTGGACCCATGTTTATTCCAGGGCTAGCGAATCAGCAAATTGTTATCCTTGGTGCAATTGCTTTGACGGCTCTTGCTAGTCTAGATAACTGAACTGCAAACGCGGGAATGATCTATCTATTGACGATGTGCGGCCGCGCAGCGGCTGGATTTACTACGTCCCTTCTTGTCTCCCTCCATCCAGCGTGGAGCTAGTTACGATTGTTCTAGCTTGGCTTTTTGACTTAGTTAGTAACATCTGCTATGTGCGACGTCGTAGTTGCTGTATCGCTATCATGGTTTGTGGTAAGCTTGGCCTCTCCATGTCCGTTATACGCGAAACAAAAACCGTCAACTTACGGCCTCAAGCTGCAAAACAAGACATCTTTTTCTGCTACCAACTCTATCCTTAGTCGTGACTCTACAAACTGGATCTATCACCGCTTTCGCTGCTTTTGCTGATGTTTTCACGTTCACGATTAGCGAGGTGAGCACGCTGGTATTGAGGCATAGTAATAATTTTCCTTTGTGGGATAAGACATTATTCGCCTATCCTAGGCCACATCTTTGGTAATGTTGACACATGAAACATGTCAGGGAATTCATCTGGGCTTATTCTCTGCAACACGTACTCCAACTCCTTACTTTCGGAGTATTGTACTCACATATGTTTCCTCTACTAACTATTCCGCTAGGTTGAACACTTGTATTGAATAGAATAAACTCGTTGATTCACCCAGCACACAAAGCGAAATCTCTTTTCATCATGTTGAGGTGCTTCACAACATAGGAAGCATGGACCCGGAGATGATAATCCTCAGTTCCTGTACTCGAAATTCGATTGACTCAATGATTTTTCATTCAGGACTATGTGGCTTCCGACGAGGTAAGAATGCCTATCTCAAAAATTTCTTCAGAAGCCTGCTCCCGTGATGAAATCCCCGTTTTAGATTACAGATTACTGGATGGGGGGTCCAGAGAGCGTAATATTGCATCGAGATTCTCATTCTCGCTGAATGGAAAGGTTGTCGAGCGTTATTTATGCAAGTAAAAGAACGTACAAGTATGATTATGATATGTGTTTTGATTGGAGGATGTACTTCAAAATCCGAAGTCCCAGGCTGTAAAAAGGAGACTGGAGAAGCAAAATACATGCGAAGAGCAGCATGAGCACTCTGGAAAATTCACCCAAGGACCACAGAAAATAAAAGACGCAGAAGGAAAAGTGAAGCGTCAGTTGCATGATCTAAGGCGTGCATCATTAGGGAAATAAAAGGTGAATGGATTCTGAAACGTACCTTCCAAAGCATCCTGGTCCAGGATAAATTTTCTTCTTTCACTCGCGAACAAAGAACCAGAGTCGAAGGATCAAAATCTTGCTCCTCCTTCTCTGCAGATAGTTCGAGGTGACGATGGCGATAGGTGATAGCTCGAATTTTGGAATTCGCATTGATAGCTTCAGTGATAAGCTGAAGAGATTCAGCCGCTGTAGCGTAGTCCGGGTCCCCTTGGGAAAGGGAACGCATTGCTATAGAAGGCTCCATAAGCGCGATTCGTTGGGGTATAAAAATGGAACCTCACCATTTACAGCATTCTCAAGATACTCTCCTGCCAGCTCTACCGATATGCTTGCACGACAGTAGAGTAAGTCATTCATACGCGTCGTAGAGCCAGTTGGGGTCTTTAAGATCTCGTTTGTGAAGTGGTTATCCATCCGGAAATAAAGACGTCTGCGAGAGCTAGGCTGTGGCTCTAGTGGGATGCATGTCGTTGCTTGATCCATGTCAGAGAGATTGTAGTGTCAGTAGCTACAGCGATGGCCCTACTAAATATTGACACCTTTGTTATGTGAATCATAAAGCCATATTTGTGTGAACGAGCAGGATCGAAAATCTCAGCTACCACGTGTCGACGCGTTCGTTCACTTTGTTCTTATTGATTTCCTTCCATTTCCACTTAGGTTTCCATAAACCTCCACCTTTAACCTTAGCTTAACATGTCTGAACGCGTGAAATGAGGGAAGGCACGTCTTCATTGTCGCGCAATAACCGTCCAAGTGCGTATTATAGGGTCTCGGAAAGGGTTGTGCTAAACGTCACCGGAAGTTTGTCCGCATGCGAAACTGGATAAACGCGCTATCTCTCCACTACCATAGGCATTCTCGCCCGCCTGGTGGTGTCAAGCGTATCTGTGGTCTCATCTACGAGATGACTCGTGGTGTACTCACTCGAAAACGTGATTCGAACCTATACAAAGCCTGCCAAACGGTGGAACACATCATCAAAGCTTGCTGCACCCATTTCAATTGACGATGATTCGTAGTCAAACCATCACTGCTCTTGATATTGTATCCGCATTGAAGCAATTCGGTTTTGTACGGTTTCGGAGCTAGAGCTTCGAAGTGGGCGAGTTCTTTTGCTGCGCAAATTTACCAAGACAATTATCTGGTACATGTGTTATCTTTTTTCACTTTTGATTTTGTACTTGTAATCTACGAATCCCGCTGGGCTCAATTCTTCTGTGTGACGCTTGTTTGTGGCTGTCATTCTCCTTATACCTGTTCGATTGTCCCACAGTTGGTTAAACGCGTTTTAGCTCGAAAAGCTCATGCCGCAAGAATCAATTTGAATGTTTTTGTTGATCTTGACTTCACTACACTTTGCTTTAGCTCCCGCATGATAAGAGTCTTATTCCTTTTTTCCTGTACTGGGACACATTTCAGGTGGAATGTGGGACTCACCAAAATGTTCTGTCGGAAGCTGATAAGAACGTAGGGTTAGTAAGTGGTATATTTCCGATCTATCCTTTGCGCAAAGATATATGAACATCCAGAG